CTCCTCTGGACTCGCTCCAGTTTCTCAATGTCCTTTTTGAATTGTGTTTTTATGTATTTATCATATTTCTATATCGCCTCCCAACCCACAAGTAGAAGCAATTAAATCAGGACAAAGACAAAAAACATTTTAAAAACACATTGTGTTGTTCATTGTCATGTGCCTTCAAGTCATTTCTGACTTGTGGCGGCCCTCTGGCAAACCTACCATGAAGGTTTGATGGCAAGAGGTGTTTCAGAGGAGGTTTGCCATTTCCTTCCCATGAGGCTGAGAGCATGTGGCTTGCCTGAGATCACCCAGGGGTTTTCATGGCTGGAGAGTCACAATCCAGTGCTCAAACCATTATGCACCATGCCTGGCTCTCACGGAAACATATTACAACACTCTTTTAAAAAAAATTTAAAAACAGTCTAAAAACAATCCTAAAAATACAATTCTTAAACAGTGAAAACAGAGCAATCACAAGCATTAAAAGCCATGCAGAACAGCACTGTTTTCTCTGATCACCAGAAGCTTAAAAGAGATGGGCCAGACTAGTGTCCTTGGGTAGAGAGGTCCAAAGCCAAGGTGCTACTACCAAAAAAGCCCTAGAATGCATACATACCAACCTCAGAAAAGTATTTTCTATACAATTTAAAGGTACCTAAGCCAAAGATTCCCAGAGTAGGTCTTTGGGCTCACTACTTTGAAGCCTTCCAAATATTGCCTTCCTTACTTACTTGACATGCTGTACCTTCCCACGCTTAAATTCATTTATATATTTTAAGAGCTCTTTGCTGCTTCCTGCAGCTGCTTTCTACCTTCACAAATGCAAATGGCCCCCTCCCTTCTTCTCAAATTTAAAAGGAATGTTAATAATTCATCCATTAATTAGCTTTTCATTATGCGTCAGTCAGAGGCCTGCATAGTGATCTCACATTTCAAAGTCCAATAAAAAAAAACACATAGTCCTGGATGTTGGACAATGTAGTAGATGAACCACATTTTGTTTTGTTTTTTTTTAAAACCACTTACGTTTCCCTGCTGTTTTTTAATCCTGGAATCATGGTCAGCACACCTCCCTGCTACCAACTTTCATCAACCCTTTCCTTCAAAAATAAAGACTGAGAAACCTACTTGGAAGTGTTAAAACTCCTAGAGTCCACCAGCCAGATAGTTTTCTGGACTGTCTGCAGTTTCTGAACAGTTTCCAAAGGCAGCCCCACATCGAGCATGTTACAGTAGTCCAGATGGGATGTACTCAAGGACCGTGAAATCACTTGGGTTGATGTCATCTGGTGCAGTAACTCATGGTGTCACACACATACCCATTGGCCTGCTCCTGTTGGAGTGTGGCATCATTGCTATGTCTATGTAATTGGGAGAAGATGTAATGAGAATTTGACCTTGGGGAATTTATAGTTTGCTCAAAAAGAATAGGTAGGATCAAGGCCCACTGTGTGCAGGGGGAGGGAGGGAAGAGTCCTTGAAGAGACAGCATTTGTCCAAAAGAATGGTACGGTACTTTTATTAAGAGAGAAAAACAAATCAAGAAGCAAGCACACACATACACACAGAGGATACATGAAATCTGTAAGGAAGGTTTCACACACAAAATAGTTACCTAGAAACTCTGCACTCCTTGTAGAAAAATGCAGGCGCGGGGGGGGCTTCCCTGGGCCTTGGAAAGTGTAACAGCCTCAGTTTCAAAGTACGACAGCCTCAGTTTGGTCATCTTGGCTTCCAGGGAGAGTTCAGGTTTGACCTGCTCTGATCCATTTGTTCATCTTTTTAGCTGTCCATGGGATCCTCAGCACTCTTCTCCAGCACCACATTATCTCAAATGAATTGATTTTCCTCCTATCTGCTTTCTTCACTGTTCTTTCCAGCTCTCACATCTGTACATGGTGATGGGGAATACCATGGCTTGTATGATTCCAACTTTTGTGCTCACTTTGTATATCTTTATTCTTCAGGATCTTTTCTAGTTCTTTCATGGCTGCTGTTGTGGGCTGGGAAGCAATACAGAAATACTTCAAATAAATAATAAAGTTGACGGTGACTTGTGTACACACCCACAAACATCCACTATTTGCATCCTAGTGCACCCTGTGGGTTGATAATCCTATAGAAATTGGCATTCAGTGTGGAAAAGAAAAGGATGTTCTCTATTGAAATAAAAGATTGGGGTTCCATTTCCCTTTCCCCTGTTTTGCCTTATAATTCAGGCATGGCTTCAATCCCTAGCTTGCCTTGTTCTGCAACCAAATAAAGCTGCAGAACTAGTCCCTGCATTTGTTCATGTTTAAGGCCGGAGTGGAATGGAAGTCAGACCCTATTGCTACCAAACAAGTGAAGACTTTTTAGGATGTCAGCGATAACTCATTTATCTCAGTTCTGCACATATTTACACAACGGACATGGATGTGGGTCCCTATTCCCAGTCTAATGGGAACTGCCAAGATGCTGGAGGCTCTGTTTCAGAGGAAGGAACTGACAAAACCTTCCTTGCCTAAGAAAACCCTACAAGATTCATGGGGTCACCATAAGTCAATAGGTGATTTGAAGGCACATCATAACACAATATAGATACTAGTACAGATTTCCCTAAAGGCACTAGATCCCATCTGATCTTGGAAGCTAAGCAGGGGCAGTCCCAGTTGGTACTTGGATGGGAAGCCACCAAAGAACCCCAGGTTCTGTTAGGCTCTATTTCAGAGATAGGAAGTGGCAAAACCACCTCTGAGGATTCCTTGGCTAAGAAAACCCTATGAGATTCATAGGGTCCCCATAAGTCAACAGGTGACTTGAAGGCATGCGTGAACAACACACAGACAGGATTGTGGTCTCTGTTGGGGTTCCTGGGTTGGATGATGTGTTGGATTGGATGGGTCTGGGGTCTCTTTCAAGACTAGGGACGTTATCACACGGGGGCAAATCTGCTGGTTAATTCACACAAATCCCAAACAGAAACTGGATTTCTGCCCCGCGTTTTCACACGACGTCGCACAGAAACTGGACAGAAAGTGGACAGAAACTGGTGTTAACGGAGATCTTTTGAAATTCGGTTGTTTTGAGGAAATGCAAATGCGAAATTAAGGTAATTTCGCATTTGCTGTAATGTGAAAAGCAAATGCGCATTTGGGAGCATTTCCCTGCTTTTCCCATGGTTCCACGGGGTCCTCGAGGCAGCGTCTCCTTCCCCCTTCTCTAAGCAGACGGCTTAAAGGGCTGTCTTGGGGGCAGGGAAGGGGAGGGGCAGTTGCACGATCGGCGTCCCAACCCCTTATCCAAGTCGTCCTCAGAGCAGCCGGCCCTCCGCATGGCCAGCGCTCCGAGGAG